AAATCAGCCTGTCTTAGGGCTGAAATTTGAATCCGTGACCTGCCGAGTATGAAACAGGCGAGACAGCTACTCAACTACGACGTTGTGTGTAAAAATTGTTACGTCTTCAGGTCATGTCAACATGAACATCGAAACGAAACCCAGATTAAATAAACTGAGTCCTAGAATAAAAATCTGTTACAAGACGCCACAATCAAAATTTCTTTTGCCGGTCTATAACCTAGATTTTCAGTCTAAATAGAGAGTGTAACTGTGTAGGCCTAACTAGACGAGAGCATCTATTTGTGTCCATGCGCGTCACATTTTTTCATCGCATTTGGCAGTAACAGCTGTACGCAATTACAGCGAACTATATCGCACACGCGCGAAGGAATATATTGACGTGCTATTGGAACTGACGGCGAAGGTCAGGTGACTAATACGTGTCAGCCAATATATGACGTGACAGTTCTTAACACCAGTTTAATGTTCCAACATCCTGACAAATCCAAAGGCGACGCAAAATATCTTCGATCAATATTGAAATATTACTGTCATTTTTAGGTTAGGGATTTTCATCACCGTCAGGTTTTCGAGCAATTTGGCCATCTTGAACCTTCATTTGAGTTCATCTCTGTGAGGAAAAACACGAAAATATTCAGACAGGTTAACCGGAGCGGGGGACCGAGATGTGAACCCCGGAACTCTCGAATACGAAGCATAAAGTTGATCTTTCAACTGTGACTTGGTCATTCCGGTTTTATCTACGACACTAATTTTATTTAAAACGTATTACTGTTCAGACTTTAGAGATGGCTCATTATTGCACCACAGATCTCTCGCCGACTGAGAACATTCTGGTTGTGTGTAGGCAGTAAACACGTGACTGAACTGTACACGTCATAGTCACAAGAAACCCTTGTCTCATTTCCACAAGTAAACACAATGCGTCATTAATAAATACATGAGATTTTTATATCCCTATCTGAAATCATCTTATGCAAAGGAAGTCTATGAGAATGATTCTCACACTTTGTCACCCCACGAACCCTAAAGTCCTGGAGAAGATGACGTCACGAGGAGCTATTCAAAAAGTCCCCCAGTCTGTTATGGAACCTGAAAGACGAAGGTTCATTACCATGTTAACAACAGCCCGCCAACCTAACCTATCCTTCGGCTCCCTCACAAACTATTTCCTTACAAACGTAAATGTACGCAGGTCTCTAAATTCATATCTACCCGGGTTACAAAAAAATCTACTGGCTCTGGCCTTTGTCTGGTGGACCTAGAACACAAAAAAGGAATTGCTTTTCAGGTATTATAGTTCCAGAAAAGAGGAAGACAGATGTCTCCACTGCCGACTGAAGAAAACTCGACAAGGAGGTTATACCAATGGAGGTCATCTCGAAGCCATACGTAATAAATATCTTCGTGACGTAACACTAGCATCATTTTAATACTAGATCCCACGAAAGATAGAAAACACTTCAAGTTTTTACAATTCTGATTCATTACAAAGATAAGAAAATAAACACTTAAATTGATTCAGATGGGCCATGAACAGTGATGGGTTTTTGGTATTAAATTTCGGTTTAGGTAACACGTCCGAGATGGTAAGGAAGCCAAGGGCTCTAGTTCTAAAGGAGGAGGGGTCTGAGATGGTTGTGTACTGTCCAGAGACAGAGGTAGACAGATTTTGATGAAGTGTCGATAAAAACGTTGATAAATAAAGACGATAAAATTATTGTATCAGTAGGTCTATGTATAATACAAAGGAAATACAAAGGACGCAAGTCATGCGACGAATTGAGTCCATGTGCGTACCAGATAAATATTTGAGATAATCCTCGAATTTTGTGAACCCTTATCATAAAAGAAACAACAACAAAAATTGATAGTGGAACCATGGTTTCGGAGAATCTGACGTAAATACGTCTTTCCGCAATAACGAAAGCGGATTGTTGACGGCAGTAATGAAACACGACAATGCCGAGTAAACGGATGACTTTTCCTTGGTAACATAACAATGCACGCAGTTCATATATAAAAGCTGACAATTGTCGGTCCATATTTACACATTGTTGGTATAGATCTTACACAACTTCGTAACTAACTCTGTTTATGCCGAATTTACGTCAAAAAAAGAGTTGACAGTGGAACCACGGTTCCGGAGGATCTGACGCAACTGCGCAAACGCAGAAGTAGCGTTGAGTTGCGATGCGCCCTTATTTGTATAAATAAATGTTTGTAGAACCTAAACCATTTGTGATATGTAAAATCTGAAAACAGATATGGAAAGCTCAAGAGGTAATACGTATTTCGTACGCAATATGTCCGGATCCACCTCTTACGGTTTTCGAGAGGCGGGAGCTTAACACGCCAGATGCTTAGAAAATTGTACACATTGGTTAATTAAAATTTCAATAAATGTACAAACAATTATAAATACAATAAAATACATAACAGATTCTTAAAGGTCCTTATTTACTGATCATTTTACATATTGGTTACATTACCCTTACGTTTACCATTCCCGAGAAATGAACATTTAAAGGTGACTCGGCGCTGGATCTTACACATCTTCGTAACTAACGCTGTTTTTGCCGAATGACCCTTTCGTATAGACATACGTATTTACGTCAAAAAAAACGCATTGTGATATCTCATCTCATTATTTGGTTATTAAGTGTTAAAGTTGTAAAGATAATTATGGGACACAGTGTATAACATATATTAAGCGTTAGATAAAAATCTGTGGATTCCTTTGTCCTAATTTTCCGAAGCAATCAAACAATCTTGATATACACAAAAATTTCAGCTGATTGTCGAGTTAAATCAACATGATTCACTACTACCTTGGAAGCTGAAGTAAACAACAATTCTTCTCAACAATCAGCGAACAAACACACTTCATTGATTACTGTGACTTTACACACATTACTGGTAATATTTTCGAATTTAAGCAGCATCTGGTACTATTCACAGAATAAATAAAAGAAAATGTTTTATGCCTAGTCCGTGCTGTGGCTGGATAACGGGCAGTAAAAATAAAATAAACAATATTCACCCACCAATAGTCATTTTTCAGGAAGAATACAAGCGGA